AGTGATATCACCCCAAACAAGAACTTGTGGTTTTTCTTTACTTAAGACTTGACTAAAATATCTATTGAAAAAATGGTTGCAAGAAGTGGGAACTGAAAGTGTACCAATGCTGAACATTCATGTATGTCAGAATCAGCCTTTCTCTATTGAATAACACCAGTTTTAGTTCTGATACATGGCTCATCCATACTTGTGTATGGAAACATATTATACTAATATAATAGTAAATTGACAAATAATGATTTATAAGCACAATAAAGTGATTTTATTTGAGAGAACTTAATATATTTTTTCATACCTGAAGAAAACAGACCAATGTGTCCTGTCAAAACATGTAGTATGTTCCCCCCCCAAAAAAAAAATTGCTGGTAAGAGTTCCATATGGCACTCCCACTCAATTTAAAAAAAAATCATCAAAGTAATATTTATGTATTAATAAATCATATTAATAGTATGATCTGATAATTTTAATACAGTTGGAAGCGTTAGTTACAATAGGGGTGTCAAAAGGAAATGGGGGTGCCAAAGTAGTTTGGAGCATTTTTTTCTTTTTTTTTTTGGTAAACCCCAAAAAGCCATGCCCCAATTTTTCTAATACGCCCCTTAAAATAAACCCTTTTCAGAATCTTTTTTATCCAGGCAATTCTACAATTTTTGAGTGGGGGGTGCCATATGGAACTCTTTCCAAATCGCTTCATTATGCTTTCAAATTGTCTGTCAGTTTACTGTTATGGCATGTCTGTATTGTGTTTTTGAACAATTTTAAAGTTTCCATGGATTTTGGGAAAGTTACAAAAAATGTAGTCCGTATAACTCATTTTCAAACAATTTGAATTCACAAAGATTGTTCTGTTGGGTCACTGAACTTTTAAGATGTACAATAACAAAATTCAAAATAGTTTTGTTAAATTTGTCTTTTGAGTTTTGAACAAAAAATATTGGATCATGTTAATCGATTGACTGTTAAGCACATTTTCCTTAAATGAGTTAATCGAGGGTGAAAAGACTGCATTAATATATTATATACAAAGTATTAATAATAATATTGAAATAAATAAAATGTCAACATTTTGTTGTTTGTTTGTGTAGGACAGCAATGAAATCCATTTCAGAGTTAAAATGACAACTCAGATGGGTAAACTTAAGAAGTCTTACAGCGAGAGGGTGGTAAGTTTAAAATATTTTGGAAGCTTGTTGTACTCTACTTTATAAAAACTGTAAGGAATGATTCATTTTTGATTTAACTAGTCAAATTAGCAAAGAAAATATATATGTATATGTAAAACGTATATGTATTAAAATGTGTTATTAATTTGTTTTCTTATTTTAAAATACTGCCAGATTCTGTTATCAGCACTTATTTAAATGAAAAAAGCATATTAGTGAAACTTCCTTTATTTATTTGTTTTATACTTTGAGTAATTGATTTAATTTTCTGAAAAATCATTTTGTTTGAAAATTTTATGAAACTTATTTTCCCCCATGGATTGTTTATTGAATATTGGTTAAGACCTTAAAGTGACACTATTAATAATGTCAATTTTGGGCCCATTTTTAGTACTAGTAGCCATTATCTTGAGAAACTGTTCTACGTAAAATTAAAAAACTTAGAAAATTCTTTTAATAGTTGTGGTTATTTTATTATAGAATGCCCTTATATTTTTATTGTATGTTTTAGCTTTTCAAATAATTTTATCAAAAAAGTTAATGGTTTATCTTAGTCACTGAATCAATATTCACTTGTGTCACTATCTTTATTGTCCTTACTCATTTTTTCTTCTTCCTGGATTTTTCTGCCTACTCTTTTTAGTCTTACATTTACACTTGAAAGATTTCTCACTTCATTCTGTGAGTGTCATCTTTAGAAGTTCCATAATTTATGTTCAGCTCTGGATTCATTCAGCCAAATCACATTAAACCTGATTTATAGTGCAGATATGTCCATTACTTCAACCTGCTGATACTCCACTTCTCTTTAGCTTGTAGTATGCTAGTTGGACCTACATTTGGATCTGCTGACCAGAGGGAAAGCAACACTTACCAACAACTGTTGAATTACTATTTTTGACCATCAAATAGTGGGTTTGACCATGACAAAACTACATAATTACAGAATTGAGGAAGAAAAACCAAAGACAATTGTACGTTTCAAAAATACATGATGATGATGCCTTTACTGGCGAAACCATGGTCATTAATGAAGCATTTGTGAAATGTACAATTGTCTTTGTTTTTCATCAATTCTGTAAAAATAATTAACTATGATTGAAAGAATAAGCACGTTTGGAAGTTGGACTTGAACTTGTGACAATTAAAACAATAAATTACAAATGTAACTGAACTAATCCATATGCAGTAAACAATCATTAAATTAATATAACATTAAAATTTGTAACTATCAATCGTTTATAGTAACAAAAAAAACAACATATATATATACACATAAATTTTATTTTATACTATATAGAACAGCAGTGTTATAAAAACATTCACAGTAATATACTCTATAAATATGTTGCTGCAAACAATATACCATTCACATGTGTGATTACGTGTGTGTAATAAGGACAGGGATGTGTCGAATCGGCATCTTGGCAATGGAGTATTCTTATGTACAAAATAATGACTAGTTTTATATCAGTGATAATCTTATTCTCGTCTAAGAAATGAAGATGCTGTTAATGAAGACATCCTTACAGTTTTCCCATCTTGTTTGTTTAACTGGAGTTGTTACGTTCTGTTCACCACCAACTTCTTGATTGATTCAGTGTAGTTGTTTGTATAAAATGGTAAAATCAGTCTCTAGGACTAAGTATATGTTAACCTTTATGTAATAGTATTTTCACTAGTCCTTGTTAAGTGTTTTTCTGATCTGGAAGTGCAATGTTCAGTATTTTTAGTAAAGTAATTTTGTGAAACTTTGTAGAGGAAAAACCTACAGAATGTTATTACCATTATTTTCAGCTTGTTACTGGTTTTGTACTTCATGATACCTTTTCATGTACAAGAGTTTAGAATTTAAAAAAAGTAACTTAATCCCAAATTTTTGTACCTGAAGTTGTCTATCATGTTAAAATGTATGGTAGTTTGATAACGTCTTAAAAAAAAAACAATCTGAAAACAGCAAGATCAGATCCATTTGAGAATAATTTATTAATGAGCTTAATGATTAATCCATTAGCACTAATTGTCCTAAGCTATATGTAACAGTAAGAATCATCTTATTGTGTGTTGTTTTTTTTTAAGAGTGACTAGAGTTACTTAGAAGTTGATAGTCATATGTTTCAGTTACATACATTTTTTAAAAAATAACTTGGTTGTTGTAGGTAAGTTTATGTACATTTATTTATGTTTTTGGTGAAATATACACATTTTAATATATGTATGTGCAACTGTTTTTAACATCAGGGAGTTCCGGTTAGTTCCTTGAGGTTTCTCTTTGATGGCAGGAGAATAAATGACGATGAAACACCAAAACAGGTACAGTTAATTGTTATGTTAGTCACAAAGAAGTAAAGTATTTATTTTTCTCTCAGAAACTAGGGTTTTAAAAACAATACTTAAAGTTCATTGTTAATTCACCATATAGTTAACTGAATCTCATGGGATATTGGACTTGCAAAATTTGGACAATGCCCAATTGATGAATCAATGATTAAAGTCTGCTATTAAATCATTGTCTAGTTGTTTAAACACCAGAGACAACATGTCAGTAGCATCATTTATTACCATTGCCTGACTAGGAACTGAACTAATAGTTTGTTTGGTATATACTTGTGTCAAGTATTAATCATTATAAGGTATTAGATACCTCTACCTGTAGAATAAACGGCTACCAGGTTTATAAGTTCAGATGGTAAATTGTATGAACATCAAGTTTAGCTATAGGAAAGATTTATCAAGCTTTGAACAAGTTGTTATCATTAGGGTTTGATTAGCAAATATGTCAGTTGTAAAGCTGACTGAAAAATAAAAAACCACCGTGTTTCAAGTCTAAACTACATGGTTATGAGGTCAAAAAATTGCATCTAATAAGAGAAACTGAGGTCAGAGAAGAAAGCAATAGGAGGCAAGTATTGGGGATTGTTTAGGCTAACAGATGTTCAACTGAGTGAATTGATCAATAATCTTAGTAATGGTCAGATGCATAGGAACTGACTTTGGCAAGTATGGCCAATTACATATGCCACTTATGCTAACAATCAAAAGAAGTACCTTCATTGATGCCTAGATCATCAAGATTGGATTGTTGCCAAACAGAAGTGTGTAATGTGATTAGATGAATCAGACTTCCTAGTGACACACAATGATGGTAGGGTTAGAATGTGGTGATAACCTAATTAAATCATCGACCCAATGTGATTAGATGAATCAGACTTCCTAGTGACACACAATGATGGTAGGGTTAGAATGTGATGATAACCTAATTAAATCATCGACCCGTCTGACATAGTCTCCACTGTACGAGGTTCTGAAGTGGTGTATTGTTATGGGCTAGGTTCCTTACTTCTCCGGAATGGCTGTAACTATGTTTGTGAATATTTAACCACCCTTGTTGACCGGGTATGACCCACAATGATCTTCTTTCACTAACCATAGATCTAAAGTCATTTGTGATTGGTTCATTTCACTTGATACAGATTTCCAACAACCACCCTGGCCTGCAAGGTGCATTAAATCACTCCTATCAATTGAGAATCTATCAGATGCTTAGAGTGAGCTATCTAGACACAGTTCGTTACTGTCTCGATTGGAAACTATTGATTAAAGAGTGGTCAAAGTTCGAAGCAGGTACCTTCCAATCGATCCCACATTGTATTCAGGCCGTAGTCAAGGCAAATAGTGGCCGAACATGTTGTCGGGTTGAAGTTTCTAATATTTTAGCCAGTGAGTTTAGGTTCGTTAACTTATAAATAATATTAATGTTAGTTTACTTTTTATTAGAAGTTATTGATAAATAACAGCTCATAGCTTTCTTTTATCAAAATGGATCATAAGATGAAACTGCTATAGAGATTTAATTCTATCACTGATTGTTTATCAGTTATGAACACTTGAGTTTATTAAAAAGAAAATGATCACTTTCAGGTATCTGGGAATACATCAATTAGTAGTATCTTGTATGAATAAGAAATTGTTTTTCATTTTAAACGTATGAGATTGTAGGATCATTTTTTGTTGTTCTTTTCAGCTGGAGATGGAAAACGACGACGTTATTGAAGTATACCAGGAACAAACGGGTGGTTTGTAGCACTTCAACCTGTGTTCCATTTCTTTAAGTTGTTCTTGTCTTTTTATAGGATCATCTTACCAGTGTTTGTCAAGGAGAAACTTTTCTTCGAACAGATTTCTATCACTTTGAATTGAACCAATTTAAAAAAAAAATGTTTGTTTCTCAGAAACTCAATTTCCTGTTGTTGTTTTTTTTTTTCTTCTTCAAAGAATCCTTCCAATACCGTGTAGGATGTTTGTATTTATAAATCATTCTTTCTTTGATAACATCATTTGCAGTAAAGATCTAATTAACTCACTGTAAAAATCTTAAGTTGTTAGCAAACAAGAATTAGCAGTGTTTCAACTTTTTTGATAATAATTAATTCACTTGTGACCTAATATATGCAAGAATTAAAAGCCAAGTAAACCTCTATTATATGTTTTAGGAAACTTTCTATATCGTACCGTCTGCATTAAAGGAACACTAGGGGGTGGGAGCACGAGATCGAACGTATAAATTTAGTTAGCTAGGAGAGAAATAATTGTATGTTTATAAACTTAAGATGCTGTATTGTTTTATTCATACTCATTAGATGAAATAGGATATCTTGGGTAAAACTACTTCTGTTTTGTTGCATGTGTAGAGTCACTGTGAGTGTAGGCCTAAAGACTATTTCACAACCAATTTAAGGCATTCCAGTTTTATACAATGACTCATCTTAGGCTGTGTCTCTGATTTTAACTATAAGCATTTGGTAACGTAGTATAATAGATGATAAACGTTTTAACTTTTGGTCGCAGCTTCAAATGTTTTAAGCTAGTTTGTGAACACTTTTCTGAACAAACCATTTAAATTTGTTTAAATAACTTAAAGATTCCACTGAAATTGTCAAAAATAATATTGTAAATACGAGTAGTAGACATCTGCTTTTATCAATGTGTTGTTCCATTTTTGTCACAAAAATACCTGTCTGTTTAAAGACTGATATTAATATATTAAGCAAGAGTCATACTCGAGTAATTTTATGCAAATCTTGTGTAATAGACTTTTTGTTTCAAAGAAGTTTTTCAGGTACTTGCTATTTTTTTTTTAAAGTTTTTGCTGACTCTTCAGAAAATGTTTGCCAAAGATATCCATCATGATCTTTTTTGTGAATGTGACATAAGTATTGTGTTCTTTCTATCATTTGATGTATTATACTAATGATAAATACCATTTTATTGAAGCTGTTTCCTTTGTTATTATTTGTTAGTTAATATGCATACTTCTCCTAATTCTAAATATGACTTGTAAAGAACAAGCGGAAGAGCTTTTTGGAAGTATTAAATACTTATTCTTGGACTGAAGATGTGGACATGCTGGGGGAAAATGAATCTTAATTAAGTGTAGTGTGAAGATGATGCTATAATGTACCTTTTTATCAAACGCAACAGCGTTAACATCCCAGGTTTAAAAATACAAGAATGCAGTCTAAGAATCAATTATCATTACAAGAATCGTTGCCTGTTGTGTAAAGTAAAAATTAATACTTTTGTTGTACTTGTCATGGTAACAAACTGTGTTACTTACTTAAATGTATCTTCATCACAAGAGGTGTCATTATGTTAGTTGAACCTTTATAAACAAGAACATATACCAAGTATTTACAGTAAAGTTGTGTCGGTCATTGTCATGTTTTAGTCAGCAAGTCTAATTATCAGTAAGATGTGGACCACACATGAAAGATAAAAGGATCCACCTAATTGATAACCTAGCACAGAAGTTGACAAAATCTGGGTACACTTCTTGAAAGTATTCAGTTGATTTAGGTTCTAATGGGGTAGGTCACACTTGAGTGGATAACGCGCCAGACTTTATATTAAGAACCCCTAGGGTTGAATTCCAACCACTACCAACGCAGAAATAGTCCTCGGGATTTTTCTGTAGGTGGCGGAGGATTAGCAGCCGAAACGTAGGATGAGAAAACTAAGTAGCATTTTATTAATTAGACATGGTATAGGCTACTAAAAATAACGTTATTTTACTAAAAACATAAATCGTACAGGAGTTGATAATGGAATAATGATTATGCATGTTTTGCACTAACGTTAACCCTTTAGGCGCGTACTTTTTCAATCATATCACGCTCAGAATCATCGTCAGCTTGCACAAGTTCAATTGCCTCTTCAAATGTGAAAACACTGTAGCGACTTGATACCATTTTGGGTCTGTTTTCTCATAAAAATTAAACGATTTTCAACTGCCAATGTTTTGAAAAGCAACATACGCCATATTGGATACGAATCGGCGGTTGAGATCGTCATCTGTGCAGGTTAGGCTTTGTTGATTTTGTGCGCTCGATTCCCATTTCTTGCGAGAAATTCAAACCACATTATGTGGTTGCCATACGGCGCCCCTAAAGGTTAATACTTCCAAAACTCATTATGCAGCCCCAGGAGGTGGGGAAGAACCTCCATTGGAGAGCCATTCCCCCCATGGACGTCGGTGCCATTTACAATAGATTTGATGAAAATTATTTGTTAGCGACACATGAAATACTGGCTTATTTAAAGCACAATTTACCCATAAATCTACATCAGGCTTCAAATAAAAGTATACTGCACCAGCACTTAAAGAGCTTGAACTAGGTTATGTGAAATTTGTACTTAGTAAGAGTATTTTTAAATTCTATCATAACTTATAATAGCTTTAAAAAAACATTTCTGGTGAGAACTAACACTGGTGCTCTTGATGAAAAAAACACAGTTCCTTAACATTCCGTATTTATCTTGGAGTCATTTTTATTCGGGCATTGAGGGGAAATGTAGGAGCATCATCCATTTTACTACCACATCGTGGGTAAGGTACATCTGTGCGGATTTGTTATTCGGGTATTTAGTTGAGATATAGGAACATCACCCTTTTATATACAGTATATTATGAGGTATATAGGTAAGATATGCAACGGTACCAATTGATATAACAGTTCATTTATTAGTTACTCGCCATCATGCCCCAAGCTGGAAAAAAAAATCGCGGCCTGGCTAAATAATAAATGAATATTTGCTGTCAAATTCTTATCAATACTATAAGTGTAACTAACAGTTTGGCCGCCATATTTGATTTCAGTCCTTTCTTTTCACGCCTAAGGTGATTCGTTTGAGTTAAAGCACGAAATCTATCCTCACTAAAACTGGCCTGCTATTATTACGTTCTGAATTATAGTGTACGATTCCTTCTTCCTGTAATTTTCTGGAGTTAATTTATAGCAATCTTTACAGAGCTTTCTTAACACCCATCATTTTTGACGGGCTATACACTAGTTTGAATTTAAAATGCAAGACCGACGCCAGACAGAAAAGTGTGGATGTATGTGCAGGTTTGCCATCAAAGCATGTAGATCATCAGCGTGTTAGACACACTGGTTGCAGTAGTTATAACTCCCCCTCCCCTTTAATTAAATACATGACAATGGTCTTGTAAATACAATTTAACGGAAATTGTAAAATGATACGAATTGAAAAACGTAAGTAACTTTAGTTAATAAAGTTTCCACCGTTATTATTTCTTTAATTGCGTAATTTAAATACTGTGTGTTCACACTTATACTCGTGTAACTAACTATTATCTGACTCTAACGTTAGGGTTACCGAAAAGCAATGTCGTTTTTTGTTACCTTACATTCAAACATTTCTAATTATGTGTTTTCGTTTCTGTTTTTTATTTTTTTAGGTGAATTTGATTTAGCATCAAAAGAACTCTTCTTCATCGTCAATTTTTTGTTAACAAAAATAGTTTTTCTCTAAATGACTGACCACATTCGACATCGCATGCTCCACGAGTTTCATAAATGTAAACAAGGCAATGGAAGCAATCAAAAATATTTGTGGGGTTTATAAAGATGCTTTCAGTGTCCGCAGATGCCAGCGGTGGTTCAGAAAATTTAGGTCAGATGATCTTAATCTCTCGGATTGCCATTGTTCAGGAAGACCAGTAGAGTTGGACAATGACTTAGTGAGGTGAGAGGTTGAGTCAAATCCCCATCAAACCATCCAACAACTGTCACAAAAACTTAATTTTTCTTAGTCTAGTGTTCAAGAATATCTTAGATAGATCGGGAAGGTAAAGGTCAATAGACAAGGAGTTTGGGTTCCATACAAACTGTCAGATGACATCAAAGTTCATCACATAACAATTTACAGTTCATTGATAACCTGACATGAGAAAAATTATTTCTCGATCGTATTGTTACAGGAGATGAGAAATGGATTTTTTATGTCAACATCCAGTGCAAGAATCAGTGACTTAGTCCTGGCCTAAGCCCAATTCCGACAGCCAAACCAGGTCTACACACGCAGAAAATCTTGTTGTCCGTTTGGTGGGATAGAGTCGGTATAATTCACTTTGAGTTATTGAAATCGAATCAGACTACAACTGCAGACCTTTATTGACAACAACTGGACCGTTTACACCAGGCTCTTGTTGAAAAACGTCCAGCACTGATCAACAGAAAAGATGCAAGACCACATTCTTCAAGAGGACTCAGAACAAGATCAGAGATTTGGATTGTGAAGTCCTACCTCACCCTCCATACTCTTCTGACATTGCCCCTTCAGATTACCCTTTATTCAGATCTATGCAGCATTTTCTCAGTAATAAAGCCTTCAGAAATATTGATGGCATCAAAACTGCTCTCGCAGAATTATTTGTCTCAAAGGAAGGTTCCTCCTATCAACGAGGAATTGAAAGATGGCACATTGTCATTAATAATGATGGGGATTATGTGACTGATTGAAAAATAAATATTCACATTTAAAAAGATCTTTTACTGTATAAGGAAAAAATAGATATTACTTTCCGATACCCCTAATAATAGTAGGTCTATTTGTAGTCTGGTTTAAGCATTAGACCTAATAAATAAACGTAACATACAGCTTAGCTTAAACACTACTCCAATGAAATCCTTTGTAAGTTTTATTTTACTTTTGTGTATATCTCAATGTCAAAAACTTTGATGTTCATTAAAAAACTGAAAAAATACAAATAAAATGCTATTTAACTTATCACGGTGCGATAAGAGAGGCTAAAGTAGTATTTGTTTTTGTTTTTTTAAGCCTAAAGTAAAGACACAGTGTGCAATAACTTACCCTAGGCCCAAGTGCATAAAACTTCCCATGAAAGAAAAAATATCAATTCTAAATCTAAATCATTTCGGAATTAAACCATTTTGATGTGATATCACCGAAGTTCTAAAAAGAATAAAAAACAAACCTTTCTAACAAATCAACATGAATATTTAGCATTCAACATAAACACCATAGTTGACCTAAGAACAATTAGGTGATACTTTTGTTGCTAAGCAACGATGTGAATTGTTGAGCATTATCAAAAAGGTGCGTGACACGAAGACAGAAAAGGCCATGGAAATGCTTAGCCAAAAGAGTGGCATTGCGAAGCACTGTTTAACTGAATGTGCAGGAAGTTCTAGGTAGTGAGACAACAAAGAGCGTCTTTAATCCAATGGTGCGGAAGGTGCTGCCGCACACAGAGTTTAATTACACGATATTTTCGAGTTTTTTGTGACTAGAACAGCTCCTGTCTGAAAATTGTTCCCGTTATTATGAAAGTATCTTATCACGCGATGATTCAATATTGTAGATGTAAATATAACATACGCACCTTATTTCGAAATAGTCCCTCGGTGAAACAGCGATAAGTCTGCGGACTTACAACGCTAAGATCCAGGGTTCGATTCCCCGAGGTGGACACAGTAGAAAGCCCAGTGTGATTTGCTTTAAAGAAACACCCAAAACTCTACTTAGAAATTAAATGCTGTCTGTCAGTTCACTTATGAGCTACTTATATATATATATATATATATAGTGAGTGAGTGACCAGAAGTTCTAATATCACTGTAAGCCTTCAAATATAGACGAAATCTGAGAAGAAAAAGAAAAAAATAGAACTAAGTCATGAATAAATGCAATTTATAAATTTCCATCGTAGAAAAAACTCAACAGTGTATTACCTAAACAATTGTTTAAAGTCTAAAAAAGAAAGGTGGTCAAGCGTTTAACTTTGCAAAGAATCCCAAAGGTTTGAAAAAAGAATGATTTATTGTGCTATGGTCTAACGATATAAAGAGTGAACTTTTATGACCTCTAGAACTGTTATCCAAAGACATGATTAAGAGAACTTTAAAGAAACAAAACAATGAAGGTTATATAACGTTTTCGATTTTTTTTT